CATCATTCAGACATAGAATTTACCTACTACATTTTATTTTGTGTTTTGTTATTATTTCAACAACACCATATCTRAGAATGAAAATTGTACCGAATGTCATTATATTCAAGTATAATTTAATATGAAAAAAATGCACCTGATTATTGTCAATCATTTTTTTATATTAAATTATACTTTAATAAGTGTATATAAAAAATATCGTGTTACTGTTTTATTAAGTACTGGSAATTAATAAAAAATAAGTTTTTCGAAAAAAGCTCGAAAGTAGTAAAATAAAATAAATTAGATCACGATGACCTTTGCAAACATTTAAATAGGCCCAATGATATGTGTAGTTATCAATACARTAATGGCATATTGGTGTTGTTAATAATCATGGCTGACATACGATGAATACTAGATGTACAATTTATAATATTATATAACAACAGAACGGTCTGCAGAAACACAGCTATTAAATATTATAGACTATAGCAATAATGGTACACCATTGCGATGATGTCGTTTTGATGATAACTTTGAATTATAAATGGAATCGAAAAGCACAGCGTGTAGTGTTTGACGCATGACAAAATGGAGAATTCATTGATCATTTCRGRCCGAACAGAATAATGCACTGCCGACCAATCTAGTTGTATCGCGTACCCTAAAAACAAGACGGAAAAAACACAGACTAAATAAATAATTTTAAATCTAAAAAAACCCCCGAAAGTGTTCATGTCCATTGCTAATGGATGATTGTAATGCGACACTGGTTTTCTTCTATCCATTTATTTCACTCATCCGGAAAACATTGCGCGTGAAATTCAATTGTAMAACGACAATCCAATATACTTAAACTAAAACCATTGCCTGCGACGTTAATCTCTTCCGTTTTTATTAGGTATTTCAACTAATGAAACTGTATTTATTTCTACGTAATCGTCCGTGTTATAATATACCTACTATTATAACTAGATAATAGATGACGATACATAATTGTCAGATAATAATATAGTATATACGAATATTTCAACGATAAAAAAAAAAAAAAATGATATTTTATAATGAATTTCAAATTATGCGTATGCACCAATAAAAATTTTTTTACGATACTATAATATTGTGATTATTAAAATATTATTGCATTTTGGTATGGGTTTATTTTTATTTTTTTTAATGTATAGGTACATAAAAGACAAAAGTATTTTATTACTTTTTTCACCTTGATTGTAAGTCTGTACACAAACACTAGAAATTCATGCTTAATATGTTTTTATTGTTGGAAATATTCCATTTGTACATGTCAAAGTAAGAATATTATTCATATTAAACTAATTTATAATATCCACTAAACCAACATCTTCTTATTCGGTTTAACATGTAGATGTAGTTACCTAATGTAAATAAAAAAATACTTTAACGAAGTATAATCGTTCTCTCAAATTCATAAAATTTATGTATTTTTTAAAACACTCTTATTATGACATTTAAAATTTGAGATGCATAATATTAAAATMACGCCCACAAASAAAATATCGCATTTTGCACTTGACAATAYCACTACTAAATATTTTATACTTTTGGTGTTATTYYGGCATCCGTAAAATATGTGAAATAATATTTTATTTATTTATCCATGACAATCATTGTATATAAACTTAATAATCATAAATCGTAAAATTATTCAATTAATTGTTGATATTTTTATAAATTTAAATAAATCATTCTATATTCAAATCAATTTATTTTACATTTTAATTGTAATAATAATCATATTAAATTGTATGTATTATTTATTTATCACACGGTCGATCGATAAAAAAAAGAGATCGTGCCAAATGGCAGTTACGAGATAACGGAGTTTTACATTTCCTGTCATATTTTTTATTTTATTTTATATTCGCAAAGAACGTTGTAGACGTTTATAAAATGATATATTTGTCATAGTTTGAAAGTTTGAAACAATTTTTTTTTCATCCTCGTGAATATATTTTTCTAATTTTCTTAAACAGCCTTCGAAGAAAAAACCTTATAAAATATAACTTTAAGAATCCGAGGAATTTTGACTTAAAGCGACTTACAATTACGACGACGGTCACCGAACTTTTACGCTTTACTTGAGTGATGTTTAATGTAACACGCGTGGTTTTCCTCCGTACAGCCAGTGTACGTTCTACCCGGGCAAAGTTATCTGAAGTGTGTTTACCCCTGTCTCACTCTCCCGTCCAATTTTTACGTCTGTTTGGTTATATGTGTAGCGGTCGAAAACTTTTTCTCTCGGCCTCTCCCATCATAATCCCCTGGAACATCACACCCCCTTGGGTCCACGTTGTCAATTCGTGTCATGTGTGCGGCAAATTTCATTTTCAGTAAGAAAGAAAAAACTCCCCCTGTCCCCTTTTCTCCACGAAGCGCCACCGTTCGCCCAACCCCCTGCCCCATAATTTTGTTCCGGTAATCACTGAAATTCAGAAAGCGCCTCGGAGTTTTCGCACGCTCACAAAACGCACCTTATATATACAAATATATACAACACATGCTATATATATATATATATATATAACGCATGTATATATACGTCTGTTCATGTACTGCTGCTGTGTACGCACGCACAATAACAATAATCAGAGGCTTTTCGTGGTTATTATTATTAGGCATTATTATTTCCGGCCGTCGTGACTAGCATGTAAGCCTAGCGTGTTAAATTATATACCCGCCTATAATGGTGAAATATTCCAAGTGTGTGTGTGTGTGTGTGTCTGTGTGTCTGTGTAGGTACACATATAGTGACCAGTGACCACCGACCGACGGAGATTATATTATACGCGAGATGGCCGAATCGCACGTAATATATCTAGATGGACAGATGATCAGAGATATTATATGGTTAAAACTCGCTYTTCTCTGGTCTAAAAGTGCAGGCGTATACCTGCAGTTACTCGATTATAAAGTTATACGGGTCAATAAAAGTTTGACGCTTTGTTTAATTCAGTATAAATAACCTATAACATTGAAAAACCRACATATTATAWAAGTATATAAACACTAATTTTACAAATACCATTGTTTGTATTATTAATACCTGTTGTTATGGTTATTGTTATTTTACTCGTGCGTAAACTTCATAATTTGACAAGTTTTGAAATGCGTTGACGTTATAGCGACTGCGAACCCCTCGGTATTTTTAACAACCTCGTAAACAATATTTCGCAACTTTAACCATTGTCACTGCGACGCCTTCTAGAAGCCAGAAAATAGATGCGTTCAAGCACACTTTAAACAAAAAGAACTTTAGAAAAGCAATGTATATTACGCATCTACTTTTGTTTGCGATTTCGGTTCGGTTCGACCCGATGATTRTTATATACACCTTACCAAACAGAGTSGAGTTAATATATATATACGCTGATCAGCKGACATATGACGAGATCTACAATGCAAAGTGCATAACACAACAGTGCATATATAATATATGTAGGTATATGCTGTTTTCGCTACACGCTGCATGGCCGAACATCGCTCTCTGCTGCAGCAGAACCACCCAATACATGCAGCTATATCTACGGCAAGCGCGGTGGTACCTACCATACGTTCGGTATTCGGTATGCGTATAGTGTTTGTAAGACGCACGGCGGCTCTGTATAATATATAGAGAGTGAAACCCCATCGTCGTCGTGCGTTAATAATTTAGTTCGTCTGCAGCACACGGCGAGGAAATGAATACGAAACGGGCTGATCCCGGAATCGCGTTTCCACCCAACACATACGCACCGTATAATGATATTGGTTCCGTGTCCCGAGACGTTTAACGGAAGTGCTTCGGGTCGCCCGACTCGCAATATTGCATTACGATCAATATATGAGGTCCCCCGCGTATATGCGTATAACTGTCCCCGTATATTATCAGCTGTGCCCGCCCCCTTGCCCGGATAAAACGACCTTCTTTTATCTTCTTCTTTTTTCTCTCTTCTTCTTCTGTTTCGATAAATCGTGAACAGAAAGCATTGCTCGAGTGCGTACTGGCGGCGGCGGTGGTACATCGTATACACATAAGTATTATTAACCAGTGGTGTGTATATATATATATATTATTATAAACCGTTATGTAAATTATAGGCTGACTAATGACTTAAGTGATGAATGAGTGGTGGTGTGTATAATATACATATAAAGCGTGTCCGTAATAAAAATCGGTACACCGCAGCATATAAGTACCTATTATAGTAGTACGTACTTTATGTATATTAATAATTATTATATAATGAAGGAGATGTGCCATGCGGGATGTATGGTGCTAGACAAAATATGTATCATTAACGTCGTCGTCGTATATATAATATAAGTAGGCACATCATTACTGTGTAACACATACTCCAACGCTCAAAGTGTATATACATATAATAATATTATATTATCATATGCTTAAAAAAAGTTATTAAACGTATTTTATAATGAGTATAATTAAAAAAAACGAATAGCGAATTAACGACAAAAACCAAAGTCTCATCACTACTGAAATAATAATAATAATAATTTGTTTTTGAATATATACCTGCGCTATATACCGTAGGTATACGGGTTGTGCGTGCCATTATTTTTTTTTATTCTTTTGACGATTTATCATACCTGCTAAAACAATCACAGATCGTATATCAAGATTTTAGTAAACCAACTTACACGGAATATATACGTATACTATTATACTGTACAACATTATTTGTGTTCCGTAAAACCTCAATAGCGCTTTTCCAACATTTATCTCTATCACGGCGTTACATAAAGTCATATCTCTAATCTAAACGCAGACTCGTATTTTTCAATTTGAGCAGAACGCGTGAACTAAGCATAACATTGTTATRTACTGTGTACATGGAAATATGTATTGCGCTTCGTTCGATTCAGAAACGCAATATAACTATACAGGCGTATAAAGAATTTCTTAATCAATTTGTCTGTTTCCAATACGTATAGTGTTTCTGAAAGAATCGTGCTCATAAATATTTCCTTTTATGTTTCAGACGCAATATGCGAAAAACGCAGCCTCGACGAACTGTGCGGAGAGATTACCAGTGACGCTCCGCTCTACTCCATGTTTAGGGTAGATGCCACTCCGATCCCGTGCCCGTTTGATGGGCTTCAAGCGCCGTTTCATTTCTCGTATAGCCGTGGTGGTTACACCGAATGCAAGTGAGTATAGACTTTAAATGGAAATAATAAATATATATATATAAATATTATTTCAGTATCGAGTTGGCKGGTTCTTGTTAAATACCTATCGTAGTCCGTATACGTATAGGCTCCTCTTGATTGAACCATTATTGACAGATGAGTGATAATTGCGAATACACTATGCCTAAGTACATCAAATGCATCATTGCAATGTTCGCAGATAAAATATGGTACAATTTAGAAATACGTGTTTTAACCTAAGTCGATTATGYTTAGCGCGTTTTTTCAAAATAATAAAATCAATGGCAACAATAAATTGTTCATAACAAGCGTTAAACCCTATAACACGTTTCACCAATAATATATTATCAAAATAAAAAGTTATGTCAAAATTATTTGTTAATATAGAATATATATTATTATTAGACTCATAATTACCTAAAAMCCCCACTGTATGTTACTATAATATATATCATATATGACATCATAATGTCCAAGCCGTTACGAATCGTCGAAATAAATTGCATGCCTATACGTGCTGAAATGTCAATGAAAAATATTTTGTTGATCTGCGCCAATAGAACGACTATATTTTTATTTCGTCGGTATCATACGGATATGGGTATTATGCTAAGATATGTAATCAACTTTTTGGACTCTTGTACATGTACCTACCTATCATTAAAAAATAATGATGCAAATAATAATATGTTACACTGTCTTAAAATCATCCAAGTCACTCATATTGTTTGATATACATAAAACATATTATGTACTTTGTATTAACTACCTATCGTATTTAGATGGATACATTTCATCGCTGATTGGCCGACCCCCCGGCACATGCCTACACAGTGAATAGAACCCGTCAAACGAATTTCGCCTTACGGCATGTTTCGATTGCTATAGATAATTATTTTAGCAATTATTACTAAAACTCATTGTTTGTTCTACAGGTCACCGGTTTCAAAAGCCGATTCCTGTACGTCAGACTCGAGGTTGATGCTCAAGTTTCAAGCTTGCCCGGACGTCCATAACACCGAGAGCACAGGTAAATAACTTRAGACATTCCGAGCCTTCGTTAGCGTCGTTGTCCCTCGTCCTCTCACCAATCCGCGGCTGCACGTAACCCATATCACCGTCGAAATCCGCGTATACGTTAATTCTCCCTCCCAACTCAGACACACACACACACACCGTCACTCATCCAACGACAGTTCAAATCGATGCTGACAGGCCACGTGACAGATTTATTGAAACAAACCGTCAGCTAAACCGCGTTTCGCCGCCTTGTCGGTCGAGTTTATAACATGTGTCAAACATAAAGGCCCCGCAGACCGGGGCGGCGTTTTTTGATTGACGTCCGTGACAGTTAACAATGCCGGAGAAAAGCATTATGGCTTTCGTAACGATTCGATAAGGTCAGTTTTTTTTTCCACCCGAACGTTTATTGTTCAGCCGAGTAATAATAAATTAAAATTTTTAAAACGCGCTCTTATGAAAAATGAATAGATAGGAACTTCTATGCAAGAGCGTATCTATATATATATATATACAAATATTATTGAATCGACGTTAATAATATTGTCTGGATTGCGCATATAGTGAAGTGAATACCATACAATTGAACGATATGTACAGGGTGTGTAACGTAAACATTTGACAGTTGAACATTGTTATTGCGTTTACAAAGATTGTCAACTGTACGTGATACACACTGTATATGAATAAAAAAAATAAAAATAAAAAAACATTGAATTAAAACCCCCTCGTAACACGAATGCGTAAGGTCTGCAACAGTTCATCCTTAAATATTGTCTCACACGTTTTGTAAACGCTTCGATATTTTAATACGATAGGCGTGCCTGTGTGTGTGTGTGTGTGTGTGTGTGTGTGTGTGTAACCGTTTGATGTTTTACAAGAATTGAAAATAAAATAAATTTATGAAAATGTCTGCAATTCATGATAAAAAAAAAACAAGTTACGCATGGCATAAAAGTTGTATGATTTATACTTATACCTACGTTACTTGTTTGTTGTATATATACGTGTCGTGTATGTTTTAATCGTATTTTATATGTATACGTGCACGACAGGGAGGGTAACGACCACCAATAAATAAATAAATTTAACATAATTATGTTTTCACATGTAGTCATACGCGTTAATTTTTAATATCAATTTTTATAACATTCCGTTTTATACTTATTCAAACGAAATATGAAGTATGATATTTTTTCAATGCCTCCAAACCACGTGAAAAAAAATGTTTAAACACTCGCATTAAGTAAACGTCTTAAAAATTCACTAGTTAATCTATATTATAACCGTTAAAAAGTGGTACTCCGGCGACAAAAAGGAATGTTCGTTATTATTCATAATCCCTATATAATACGATGTATATAATTACAGTTTAATATTCGCATTATTAATATTTAATACCTATGCTTACTTATGTTTGTTATAAAAGGGATTCGATCATAATTCCCAATTATTTATATAAAGTGTTTTAGAATATTAAATTAATATTAAATATTTGCACTTCTCTAAACTATAAGCTACTTCTCACGATCACAAAACCTTCATTTTCTAGATCAAACGAGATTTCCCTTAAAATTATATTTTGTTTATTGAGCTGTACTGAAATTAATATCAAAGTTAAACAGGAAAGTTCTTTTAGCTACAAAATAATAAAGTTATTCATATTATAATAACATGCTTATTTTTGGTTTGAAATTATACTATAATAACAGCCTGTCGAAGGGATAATATCCAAACGTAACAATGTTCGTGATTTATAATTGTAGCAATTATTATTTTTATCTAAATTATTACTTTTTTTTTTTTATACATATATATTTTTATTAGATTAGCGATATGGGTCGATGGTATATACAAGCASCCAGTTTAGGTAGGAGGATTTATGACTCCAGACTTATTTATTGTTATTTCAAAGCATATCTTGTTTTATGTTACTAAACAGATTTAGCAGATTTATGTATACGTTTTCTCAAACAGTTATCGCCGTTACTAAAAAGTTTCAATGAAATATTCTGGACGTGTTCAATTGGGCTAGACAGATTTTCGGCCAATGTGTGTTGGTATAGAACGTGTAAAATTTATCAAGTTGTATTTGTTTTTTTTGGAATCCAGTCATATATGCCGCCACCAGAGCAGCCCCCCACCCCCCTCCCACGCGTAATAATCCATCATCGTCGGTAATCCGTTTAAGGGAAAAACTTTTATTACTTAGCTCCCCTCGTCCCTGGCCACACATTTTTAAGCCCTTCTCTTCCCTCCTTCCCATTTGCCCCTTGTTATTTCATATCTGAGTGTACGTGTGTTATTTGTTATTATTTTTACCGTGCTGTGTGTAATGATTTCCGTCGTGAAATTCCACATAAAACGAGGGATTTGTTATTTTTATGTTCACTCCGTGATTATATATCGTTTCGTCTTGGTGGTGGCGCACGCTAAATCCCACATGTGCCATGTGCGCGGGCGGTCTCTTGCGTTGATCGATTGTATTGTATGTTTGTTGTTTCTGTTGCTGTTTACACAACCGAACCATTTTGCTGTGCGAACTCGCAGCCCGKTGCTGGTTGTAAATTAACAAAGATAACAAATAGTTCTACTTGTTGCTTTTTAATCAGTCGTCAAAAGATCCTTTGGCCACTAACTCGACAACGTTATATGTTATGTATATACTGCTGCTATGGGTTCGCTTCAACAATGTTTGTTTGTATTGTAAAACGTGAACCTATATAGTCGTTCTGTAATGCTCGCTTTGGTAATAACACGCGATTGATTTTACCCTATAAATATGAGCGAATGGCACAGTATGTAAATTAGTTTTTAAGTGTATATTGCTTAAACGACGATGAAAAACAATTACATCAAAATGTAAACTAAACGTGTTAGTTATTATATGCAGGTAGTGTTTTAAATTGCATTCATTAATTTATATAAATGAGAAACTGCCGACAGTTTTAAGAAAATAAAATTTAATAACGATTATTCTCCCGCTGTAAACCCATAGTGTTTATTGATTTGAACAACTGTGGTTGTTTTTACTATTATTGATATCGTTATTACTATTATAATATTATAAAACCCTTCATAATGTTCTAACCCCCCTGCGTATTTGCATTTAACTGTCTCGTTCAATACAAGCTATCACATATCGGTCGTACTAAATGTGGATGATATATTATATGGGGTGAGGTTTGTGTCGAAGAGAATATAGTCTACTAACTCATTATTATTGTTATACAAGCTTGTGTCACAAGTAGGTAATAAGGCACCTTGACATCAGTCATTGTCGGCGATAATACACGTCAAGCCCTCTACCGCGTCGGTAAACTTCATATATTATTCAAGGGAACCGCAAAAACRAACTTTAACCTAAAGTTTAAAATTTACCTCCATTGTCTTGTGTTTGTGTTTTTTTTTTGCTCTATTTATTGGTAAAGCTATAAGGGTTTTGTGGTCTCGTCAAAATGCCTGTAAATTCGTACCTTGAATATTACCACAAAATATATAGAAAATACAAAAATATTGACTTAACCCAAATTCAAAACCTTAATATGCAAAAAATATTTTCTAATTAATTGATTCACAGATTTCTAGATAAAAAAAAAATTCATAATAGGATATCTTAAATTGCATTGTACATAGTTTAATTTTGTACCTATTACATAAATACAATTTATATCTAATACGGATTTGTCTAAATATAATAAATTTTAATTAAATACAATAATATATACGTATCTTGTGAAAACTAATTAATGAAACATAAAATGTTTGTATCAAAAGAGTAATTGTTCATATATCACTTTTCGCTGCTATAACTAATTTTAATTCAATTTCTTAACTTCAACGTTTCAAATTCAATTGCATATTTTTTAATGTCTCATATTTGTACATTTATTATTATATAAACAGTCATGATTTTTTACCATAACTTATAATTTATACTATTAACAGCAATTACTGATGTATAATATCTTAAAATCAAATTCGTTTGATAAGTTTTATTTTAATTAGTTTTTGCCAGATAACCAAAGATTTAATTATTTAAAAACTTCATTTTTAATGAGTTTGGCGTTTTATTTTTCTCTTTAATACATCATCATAGAGACTATCGTATAGATTTTCTTTAAGCATACCAAAAATTAGATTAAAGTTTTTATAKCATTCTATGACTATATAGATTATAATTTTATATTCTCGTGAGTAAAATCTCTTTTAAAAAGTTTTTGGGTCTTTAAATTTGATTTTCATTCAACCTTTAAGCTGCTTTTAATTTTATCCGATTTGCTTATCACACAGACATCAACTAATAATTAATTTCGATACAGATTTTATTTAAATCTTATTAAATTAATTTCAATGTAAAACCTAAAAATACTGCATATCAACGAGTATTAAATTATTCATAATAACTTAAGTTGTATTTAATTCTCACATTTTTTATTACACATTGTTTTTTGTAAATCCGTAAAAATATTATGATATAATAACCTGCACGGTTGATCGACGTTATTTGTATAAACTGTAGACCACGTCCCCTCGGTTTTAACAAAACCATTTTATCATGATCCTTTTGGTGTATAAAAATATATAATCTATAAATACAACATATTGAAAATTAAAAAAAAAAAAAATTATCAATGAACAGTTATTGTATTTATCATTTTTAAAAAACCACGATTAAAATGTTATAAAATATAACAATAATAATTTCATTGTATAAATAAATAAGTTTTGTGTTCCTTTCAATATAATATTACGCACGGTTTTCTCTGCTTAAGCATCGTGCGCATGATATAATTTATTGTTTTTATTATTTAAATTCCATTTATCGTTGTTAATTATGTACATACAATTATAATATTTACTAGAAAAGTGTGTTCTCTTGTGTAGGTACACTCAACATCTTTTGATATCGTGAATAAATKTATGTATTATATTCAATGTATATATATCATGTAATTAAGTATACGTGGATTTAAAATAAAAAGTAAACAATTTAATAATATGCACACC